GCCCGCTCAACGCAGCGGCGCATGCGCGACGGCTCAGCAGAATTCCGTTTTGGCGGGTGACCACGGCGGACACCTGTAGTTGCACTGTCGAGGGGCGCTTAGTGGCGAGTGTGTGGGCGCATGAAGGGTGGGTGGGTGTGTGGGTGCATGAAGGGTGGGTGGGTGTGTGGGTGCATGAAAGACAGCGCACCGGACAGGCAGGATGTACCAGGTGACGGCAGCGAACTTTTCGTATGTATGAAAATATATGAAAAAATATTTGAAATTTACTGTATATGAAAAGGTATATAGGGGTGCATTAGAGGGTTCATATTTGCATTAGAGGGTTCGTATTTGCATTAGAGGGTTCGCAAGCGCAAAATGACGGAAGCGGGAGACGTCGTTGCGGGCGTAGAATTTGGTTTTTCGGGAAGCGGCGGGAATTTCTCGAGAACGGGAGGCCAGATCTCCGAATTTTGCACGGGAAAAAAAAACTCGCGCCAAATCGGGAGAAAGGTCTGGAAAAATTAATTAAAAAATTAATAATTAAAAATTACTGACACCTTTGATCATAATTGAATTAATATTCGATTCGGAGCAAGGATGCAGGAAAGAAGGGAATAAAAATCCGGACTCGACGAACGAAAAGGCAGCAATAAGAAGGGAAAAAAAAGGGGGAATTCGGCAGCAGGTCTCAGACGAAGACCAACACGTTGATTGAGCGAAGACGACACGAAAAATCGAGGACTCTCACAGCTAAGCCAGAAGTGTAGCGAGAGTCTCTTTTTTTTTTGGAGGGCCGAAAAACCTCAGGTGGGGAGGGGAGAGGGAGGACAGGACAGCCCTCCTTCCCTGGCCTACCCTACGACCGCCACTCATCCCGACATCCCGACACAGCACAGGCTCGGTGGTAAAGAGGAGGTCGCGCGCGAGCACAGAAGGGAGGTAGACCGCAGTGCACTTTGCAAGGCGCGTTCGCCTTGCGTCCTCCTTCGCCTTGTGTCCTCCGCGCTGCTTCGCTTCATGGCACAGGAATAAAAGGACGCGAAGTCGACCTGGCGCTACTTTCTCGTCTGCTGTGTGAGAACTCTTTGCATTGAATAAGAAATTATGCTTTCCCCGACATTGTTTACGTTCCGAGAAATGTTGAGCCCACGCGGGCGCTCACAACGGCTCTATAGTCCACCTCAAAAGCGGGCAACGATGAAAGAGCGGCTGAAGCAGCTGATTCAGCGGTCAGCGGTCAGCGGCGTGAACGAAGGGAAGCTGCTTCCCTATAAGGCACGTAATTAACACAGAAATGGGGCTCGTTAGGGCAACAAGAATGTAAATCAGTGCTTTTCCTATTTGGGAGAAATAAAATAACCAGTCTGCTTGTCGGAAGGAATGAAGCTGGGGCATTCCCCCCATAAAAAAAAACCGCTGCGAGGCCTAAAACCAGAGACTTCACACTTCATTCTACGTTTGGTTCCAAAGTGAATCCTTAAAGGAAATGTAAAAGTAATTAGTTTCTAACAATCCGATCAGCAGCTTCGATTTCACACTATGTCAAATGGGCATGCGCACTCAATCTCGTGATGTCGAGCGGAATGAACTTGCTCATGAGGCTCTTGAAGAAAGATTTCATGGAGATTTACACGACAAATGTACAAATGAAAAAATTGGATTTTAAGTCAATGGTCTCAGACAACTTCAGGTCGTCAACGTATTCATTTCCCCTCAGAGCAATTATAAATTAAAAAAAGTTCGATCCTAATTTCAGCCGATTTCAGAACGTTCTTAAAAATAGTTAAATATCATGTCACGTGATTTCCGGAATGAAGTGCACTGGGTGACGATCCGCAACGCCAAAAATTCAACTGCCAAAATGTCCCACCAGTGACGTCAGAAAGAGAAACTGGGGTCAATTCTCGATTTCGAAGAAACTACAACCAATATGAAGTTTGCCAGCGAAAAAAATTCGGAGGGCCCTCTGGGGGCCTCACCCAGAGTAAGAGGATTTTTCCTGATCTCAACAGACACCTGTGTACCAAGTTTCAGCTTTGTATCATATCAATATGGTAAGAATTAGCATCAGACACTCACTCAGCCGTGATCGCCAGTTTACTTTTGTTAGAAAATTTGTTGGGTCTCCTAGTGAGTTACTTCATGCAAGTTTTATATGTAGATCCCAACAGCAAATGCTATAGTGCAGAGCTTGCATGAATGAACTATTCCACTGTAGATAACAAATGAATCATTTAGATTAAACTCTTCTTAAAAAAAAAAAATTTGCGTTGCACAAAAAAGTGAAGTCCTTAATTCCTGCTTTATAAAAATCCTTTATTGCTTCTTCACTTTCACAGTCAAGGCCTGAATACAAAGATGTATAAGACATAAAAAAAAGTACAATGGCAGAGCATCTCCTGAACATACCATCCTCAAGATGCCACCACACAAATGATTAAATGATACTGAGTCTCCATGTAAAAAAGAAACATTCCACAATCAAGCAGGCTGACATTTTACAGTACTGCAATGGTTGCCAAAGAAAAATTACAAGATGCCGATACAAAAATATTTCGGGTGTTAGTGAGCCTGCCGCCGTCTCATTGTGCTTAGACCTAAAAAACATCAATGGTGAGGTTTAAAAGAGTTCGCCGACGCTTTACACTTTGGGGTCGCCGTTCACACGGACGGCCTTGGAGCAACAGAAGAGAATTTTGGCGAGTTGGCAGCCAGCTGCTGGAGGACAGGATGCTTTGGATTCAGGGCTTCGCTCACTCCACCGTGCTTCCCTGACCGGTATTTCATGTGGATGGTCTGAAAGATCAGAGATATGTATTGTCTCAAGTGCAATTTGGTAACTTTGGAGATAACCTAAGGGGCATTCATATTAACCCTTTCATGCATGAATTTTTAAAGCAAAATAAAAATATGCCCTTCATGGTTTAACGTTTAAGGAGGTACTCTGCCGCAGTAGTCAAATGTTCTACTACTAGAAAGAGACACTGAACAGATTATGTGCCCTTGAGTTGACTGCAAGCACCAAAAGTTTCAAGGTATGAGTATCATAGCTAAAAACTCATAATTATCGCCAACATTTTTGCCGTCCACTACAGTGGACACCATGCACGAAAGGGTTAATAAGTAAATAACACCTGCCATGATAACACTCAAACAGGCTCCAGAGATTTCTGATAAAAGAAATAAAAAGCCCATGTATAACATGGTTAATTCTCCAAAATCTAGCATGTATGTCTGAAATCTTTTGGCAATATATATTCAGTGAATAATTCTTTCAAGAAGTAATGCTCTTCTCTTTCTGCAAAGTGTGACCCTGTTCTTCAGAAAGTTATCAGATGGCTTTTATGAATACCAACGAGAATACCTGGTTCCATTGAAATGCCATGACTTAAGCATGTAAAAATATATTTTGGTCAATCAGATGTTCAACTCCTTCATAGTAAAATTGGTCAAAACTATAATCAGTTCATTGTCTGTCCAAGTGAATTTTTATGGGAAAAAAATAACTATGAACACAGCTGACAGGGATCAACTGGAAAAAGCTGGATCTTCACTCCCAACACTTTTAACCTCCTCAGATTGAAATTTCTTATTCAAGACATACTACCAGCCACTAGTAGGGTGACTGATTTTTGAACATGGGGCCTTGTCTTGCTTGGCAAGCATGCCTTCAACTTTATTAATTACTGCATAGCTTTTATGACATCTGCTTCAAAATTCTCCTCCTCCAATGTCAACATGGAGTAAGAGGGTGACAATCCCAGTGGCTATGAACAGGTAAGACAAAACCATCCATCTAGAATAAAAAAATAATATTTGACTTGAATTCAAAGTTCATAGGGAGATAGAAGGAATATTTCCCATATTCAACATCAATTTTCCCTAGCAAAGCTTTGAAAGGTTGTGCTCTTTATCAATAAAGAGCACCATTGGGAGGAAACATTTTTAAGCCCTTTTCTGCATTGGGAAATCTCTACGTCATTGACAAACCAGAAATACTAAGACATAAAGTTGGGTATAATTCAACCATGTATGGTTGAATAACAATGTCTAAATGAAAACATCTAAGAACAGAAAGTCCAGAGATCTATTGCAGAACATGGTGCAGTCAGAGGCTTCCTATACCAGAAGATTAAGTACAGGCTGATATTCCACATTTTGGGCAAATAGAAATTCATTGGTTTTGGAACCAGTAGGAACCCCCAAGGGACATGCAATCCATAGATTAAAAAAAGATAGTGACAGACCTGGTACTTGGAGGAATAGGACTGGATGATCACAGCAGCAACATCACAGGCAGCGCTGCGGGCCTCATCCTCGGAGTATCCTGAGTATGCATGGAGCACTGCAGGCCAGATATGCTCCTTGCTTAACAACCTGTTAAGTGACAGCAAGCCAAACTTTAGTTCCCTGTGCACTTGTCACAACAGAACCAAGGGAACTGGACTCACAGGCGAGAGATGTACGCAGACCCGGCTGCAATGCGTGATGGCAGCTCTGAAGCCATTCCATAGGGCATCACACAGAGCTCCACAAAGAACTTTGCAAAGGCATGCATCTCTGCAGTTGACTAAGGAAAAAAAAGTAGTTGCACTATTCCATGCCTTTTTCTACATCCCTTTCCACAATTGTGCATAATAATATACAATCCTTCTAAAAATCATGGAAGACAGAAATGTATAGAAGCCTTGAGTTGCATCCTTCAGCTCCTTTTACACCCATACTGAGCATTTCCTCAACATTTCACATCCATGTCCTTTCTCGCACCATGAGGTTACCATACCTCCTTACCCAAACTCCACTGGGAAAATCTTTACACAGCAGTCAAGGATGATGTAGGGCAACAAGGCTGAATTGCATGAGGGAAGGCAATGGAAAAGTGGGAGATTGAAGATGTTTCATGATCTTTATGATCAATGATCATAACATGCCCCATGAATTTTCCTCACTTTCTGCTACACTTTCTTCTGAAAAAAGTTTTCATTAGTATTGAATTACTTACTGTCCCATTCCAAAGGGAAGGTAAATGAAAATATTCTAGTGCCATAGTCTGTGCTATTAGAAAGTAAATAATCAACAAGGAGTGGATCTTTATGCACATTACTTTTCTCACAGAGGATTCAGCTGATGGAAGCTCTCACCTGGCCAACTTTGGAGTCCCGGCGGAGGAAGTGGAGGGCGTGGGGGCGGGTGACAACAAAGTCAATGGTATGGAGAATGCGCATCTCATGAGACTTCATCTCAGATACAGTCACAGCACCATCAGTCATTTCAGCAAAGTCCTCTATTGGGATGTAACCCACCTCCTCCACCTTGCTGGCGATGAATAGAGATGTGATCCCTGTCAACTGGTATTTGGACTTCTGTAGAACCTTCTCCATCTGTTAGTAGAAAAGAGGGATTCAGAAGAAATCACAGCAAGTGAAAACTCCAGAAATGGAGCACAAACAGCAATGCAAACAGCAATGCAAACAGCACCACAATTAAAATGAAAAATGAAAACTAAGATCACATAATAAAGAATCCTGATTTTCACAATTTCTGGAGTTATCATCAGAAGAATTCCAAACAAGGACCAAGCTTAAAAAAAAGATTCTGATAAACCACATCATTCTTGTTGCTGAAAGAACAAGCCAGAGTTTTAACTCTTTCACTGCATATTTATTTTCGGGTGCATTCCTAGAAAGTGTCAAATATTGATAAAAAATTGAAAATTGAAATTTCATGTGTAAGACAGTTTTTCTGAATTTTTTTTATATTCAATTGATATATTACTCGTCTTTCACTGTAAATGGATGCACTGTTTAACACTAAAAAGAAAATTGTTAAACAAGATAATTATCAATAACTTCAAAATTTCAACATTTTGCATGTCCCACTTCAGATTGTTTCAACTATCCTAATCAATAAAGTACCATTAAATGTAGGCAAGTGTAAAACAGTGTGACTATTGCCAACTTGCTTGTGCTACTGGCACAGGTCACCACTATCACAGTCTGTCACTATAAATATTAACAATTTACTAATTATATAAATAAGTATAAGATCTTATTACCTCAAAAAGCATAAAAATAACAAGTATAAAACCTTCACTCCTGACTTTTTTTCAAGCTAAACCCCATGCTGGATAATATTTGTATTGTGAATTTCACAAACTTCCAATAGATGGTATCAAATCAAAATCAAATAAACTTTATTGCCGGTTTGCTGGTTATGCTTTTGGCTACAAGGTGTGATACAGAACAAAGTACATCTCATACTACTAATAATAGCAATAGTAAGGAAATTTCATACTTAAAACATATATTCAGAAGTATTGATAGACATTTACCCATCCAAGGATTTGGTAAGGCATGCCAACTACAACATTGAGTCTATAAACTTCATAATTCGGTTTTTCAGTATTCCAGAAGGGCATAAGATGTGAAGAGGGTACAGGAAATAGAAAAAATATATAAAAATATACCACAAAAAATAACGTAAGGCGTATTCAGAAAGAGAGAGGGAGAATTCTGACCATAGCCAGTTATACTGTGTCTATGTTAGTGCACGTAGTGTGCCTCTTCCACAGTGCAACTTTCAGGTATGAATAGATTTTCTAATAGATGGACAAATTGGACACTGGTATGAAAAGTTTTGTGCTCAAACATGTCTGAAGGCAAACTCAATAGTCACAGCAACAACAAAAAAATTTGACAGTTTGGGTCAAAAGAAGACTTCTGCAGTCAAAGGGTATATAGTGCAAATCAGATAAATCAGATTTTTGCAGTGAAAGGGTTAATCGTGGGTAAGGGAATACTAAGCACTATGTGAGACAAGTCTACAACCACAGCGAAAGAGTTAAAGTCAAACATAAAGCTACATTAACAGTCAAGGAAATTATTTAGAATTGTTCACATTATGCCCAATAATGCTAGATCCTTTCCCAAGCCCATCATGATTTTTCAAAAGGATAGAATAATTTTTTCAGTTTAGAAATAAAGAACACATCTGAATTACCTATTTTTAATATTACGTTCTGATTCTTTGCTAGACCTGTCACAAAACATCCATCCAGCCATCCCACAAACAATGGTTCATATCACTGATTATTGTATTAGGCAGAGTCATGAGGCAGACAGAAATGAGAGCATTATGAATAAATTATGCATGCTAATTCCATTGAGAGAAGTCAAAGAATGAAACAGGTCATTGCCTTCTTACCACTATTGTTGTGCCACAGAAAACTCCACACATATGAGACAGAGAAGGGTGCAGAAATGTGTTGCATAGAGAAAGGAGTGCAAGTAAATGGCACCAAATTGACAAATGTCAGCCACATTACCTTCATGCTCATAAAAAGGGCTACCTTCTCTTTTAAACTGATGTGCCATCCAAGTGAGGCATCTATTGGTCAAGGCTAATTTGCTGAAAGGCTAAGATTCACTCCCTCTTTTCTGGTACAAATAGTAACATCCTTTACCTCTCTCTTTCCTTTTATTAGCAGGACCTTATTAAGGCCCTACTATATCTACTTCATCTCAGCCAGCCTCACATTAATACCAATATTTCCCACACAAGGAATCATCAAGACATACCCAAAACAACAGCCAATGAAATTAAATTCTGAATGTTTGAAAGTAAAAAAAAAAAAGCTTTTCAAGATACAAGCCATGAATTTCCAGGACATCTTACCTAATTGTTTGTCCACCTTCATCAAGATCACTAGAAATGACCATTAATTCCTGTTCTGCAAGGCAAACCTAACCCAAATGTATATATCATGTAGGCCTACTTAAGAGTTTTAATGGGTATATCTGGATTTCTAATCTCAAATAAAGCTGCTTAATGAGCCTCAATGCGCCTAGCCCCACAAACTCTCATATAAACCAAAAGAGAGAAAGTGTGACAATATGCATTTAGCGACAAACAAAATCTTGCCTTGGGCAAACTCCAGCCCTTTTCATGAGGACTGTGGTTTGAGGCTTGCTAGGCAAAGGTGCTTCATGGCAAGCTGAGCCAGTCTGGCCAAGCTTGCCACAAAGCAACTTTGGACTGGAGTTCATCATTTGAATGTCAGAAGCCCTCTAATAGCATCAAGGTCCTTTACTTGTTTCCAAGTTGGTCTGTCTGTCTCTCTTGTATACATGATATGACAGCCTCCAGGAAGCTTTGATAGCCCTGTCATCCCATCCTTTCACAATAAATCAAGAAAAAGGATTGGAGAAAACTAGGGTAGTATCAAAGCAGGTGAAGAATGGCATGAGTTGTTCAAATGGTGCAATTGGCTCTAAAAGACATGCATAGATTTCCATGCTAAAGGTGCTAGGCTATCCTGCCTAAATGGATAAGCTTTTAGCAAGTCTTGAATGTCAGGGTCAAGCAAGAAGGTTCACTTATGGAATGTAGTCTTCTTAGACAATGTCAATCCATTACACCATAATTTGGAAAATGTTTTGGATATTCACAAGGTGACGCATTGGAATGGTTACACACACTGTTTCAAGAACCTGATCATTTAAGGCTTGCTGAAAGCCTATCCTAGCCAGAGTGAATCACTGCTGACATATCTGCTTGTGATGGAAATGGCAAGCATTAACACATTGACTGCCCAGCCCAACTGATATGCTTTGGTTCTGCTGCCATTGAAGACTAGTCAACTGGACATAGGAAGTCAACGAGTTAAATGACAAACCAATTCTTTACAATGAGGAACTCAAAAATATGCATCCAATTGGCACTAGTTTACTTTATCTTTGCCATAATAAGGAACGTGTAGTTTTGCATCACCCTGTAAGATTCTCGGCATTTTGATTGGTGCAAATCTGATGGACATATCAGAGGGACCTGTGATCATTTATCCAAGCCAGTTCTACATGAATTGTCCAAAGTAGAAAGAGATTCCTCTCACCGAGCAATACTTATCAAGGATGAAGATGCCAAGATAGAGGGTTTCTTGGCAGAGACGCATGTCCATCTGGACCTGGATGAGCCAGTTCACCAACATTTCCCTGTGCTGTGGCTTTACACCCTTGCCTTCCAGGAAATCCTCCTGAATTGCCAGGTCTCTCTGTCATTCAAAAACCATTCATGAGTCCAAACTGATGCATTACAAACATTTGGCATTGGCACTGATTTAATCGATTCAATGGAATGTAGAAGTTATCACTATCACCCATCAGATGCCAAATAACTTTACTCGTTCTGGTCTGAATAACTGATCAAATTGCAAGAGGATATCAATGAAAATTGAATGCAATTACATGTGTAAAAATGCCATATTAATAATGGGATATGAGAGCCAAAAAATGAGAAAAATGTCTTTAAACAATACAAACTCCCTTTCCTACACTTCATACATTGCAGTGACACCAACCTCCTTCTTCCATAGGTAGTGATAGATATCGCTGGCATACGATGCCAAGCACTGGGGATCATTGATGTCATCTGAATCAGGATCCCCAGTTGCCTCCTGCAACAGCTTCAGAGACTGTGATATAGGAGATACATCCCCGGCTCGAACACGTGGCTTGATGGGTGCCTCTTCCAGTTCAGATTTCTCCTCAGTCAGCGTCTCCAATGCCTCAGTGACAGGACGATTCTCTTGGTCAGCAACAGATCCTCGCTTCGTCATAGCCGACCGGACCTTCGGTTTCACACCAAGGCTTTGCTTCCTATAGAAATTGCCAAATAAAACAATAAATCTAAAAACAAATTCATGGCATCTAAAAATGTTCGAATTTACTTTCCATTAGGCTAATTTAGCACTTCTTTATTAATAATAAAAAATTCACTATCCTTCATGAATAATAGATATTTGATCATTTAAAGGGAAGCATAACTTTAATTTTTTAGGTTGTGTGACAGATTTTACCTCTTTAATGAGAAGGATTTTGTCATGTCATGGCAACAACACACAAGATAAGTCCACATTCACAACTGGCAGCACAAAATTTATTGGTGAGACTTAAAAAATACACAAAATACATTCCCAAATCCATCCAACACTTTATTCTACAAGCAAACCATGTCTATTGTCTTTGTGCTAAAGCTTATTCAGATGGAATACAGGTATGAAAACATGTAGGGTGATATCAAAAGAGTGGGCAGAAGGGCAACTGCTTTCCTCAAGGTGAAGGGATATTGCCCCTGCTCATTCTGAAGAAGGTATGGAGGAGCAACCTTCAACCAAATAGCCTACTTCTAAAAGGGACCCTCTTATGTGCATTTGCATTCAGAAATCTCATATCCCTTTGCAGAGATATTGATAGAAAATAAGTTATAATAGCTGCTTCAATAAATTATAGATACTCACATTACCCAAATGCTCCTGTATGTGAAAATGTTCATTTGTACCGAGGGAGCACCTGAATAGAAAAGCCCTCTAAGTCTAAACAGCAAAAGAAGCCATATTGTATAGACAATTGTTCCAATTGTATCAATAAGAGAAAACCTATATAGTAAAGTGAGGATACCTTGATTGCTCTTCGGGAGTTCAGGCCAACATTCCAGAAAGTATGGTTATGAGCAAAGTTCAACTATCTAGATTCTTGCTGTCAAAAATAAAATGAGGTTTCCTGTATGAATACAAGAAAGCTCCTTTTAGAAACAATTTGAATAATCCATTTATCAAGAGACAACTTGATTAGGCCCATTACACAGGACCAAATTTTGCTACATGACAATCCTCAAAATAAATATTGGGAAATAGAACTCCAATAACAGTACCACTGCAAAATAATGGAAATACATGAAAGAAGTAGGATACTATTGCATTCAGACCACATAAGCCTAACCGTGAATATAACAAGTGAACCTACAAAGGAGCCTTAGATCAGTAATGCAATAGAACTACTAGAAAAAATTCATTCTTTCATGGATCTCAAAGGGCTAAAAAAAATGATGTCATGAACTAACCCTAGATTAGCGACAGGTCGTCCCAATCGTGCAGTTGGCTTAGGGCGGTTGCTGGCATCGGTGAATGCCCCCTTTGGCCCCAATCCCCCTCGTAGCCTCAACCCAGCACTTGCTCTTGTTGTGCGAATTCCATTCTCCTAGTGTGGAAAGGAATAGAGATCAGAGATTGACAGAATTTAAACATGCATTACATGCCTTCTCAAGCAGTTTTAAGGAACTTAAGCCATAGATATGAAAGCCCTTGCAGTTTGCACAACCATCATCAATGACTACAATCTCTATCACTCTTTCCTCCACCTGAGATGCACATTAGAATAAGGAGACCCCGTTCTGCAGATAGTATGTCAACTTGGGTGCTTGTTGACCTGCAAAACTCATCTCAAGAAATAATGAGATTCTACTGGCAGTGAGAAGCAATAGAATTCATACCATCCTCATTGTCATGCACATCATTCATATGGTGCAAGCAAAACCATAAATGGCATAAAGGGACATTATGCCTTTGGGTCAGGTGATAAATACAGCAAAAATTTTGCGATATTCACATTAGGAATTCTGAGCCATTGTTGCCTCTCCTTCTTTAAAAGTATACATATTTCACTAGAGGAATGAACTTCTTCCCTCAATGGCAGATCAATTTGGCATGTGCTTCATTAGCTGAACAAAGACACCCATTGGATATTTAAAAAATACCCATAAGCAGGAAGACAAAGTAATTGAACCTGACAAAGAGCAATTAGACCGCCCTTCCTTCAAGCTTATTCAAAAAACAGCTGAAGTGGATTTTTATTCAGGACTGACACTGTTAGTCCATACATGGTCAGGGGAAAACAGAAACCAACTTACACTGTTTTGCCTCCTCAGGGCAGGTAGAAGTCCAGTCCTGCTGGTCATGGTTTGGGATCTTCAAAATCACAAAAAGTAATCAAGTGGCTAGTGCTTATCAAAGTCAATGTGTTTTGGCACAAGGAAAGTTGGTCTTCATTCCAATTTTGGCAATTATTGTTCCTTATCCCAAGCTCAGGTCCAAACTTCTAAGCTTGGTGAGTCAACCCAACTCCACGTACTAAAAATCTATCTTGTTGGGAATGAGTTGGACCTATCTGAAAATAGCCAAAATACAATAGGATTTGACCTGAGGGTTTAAGCAGATGCATCACAAGCCCACAATACCCATCTAAATATATAGCCTATACCTTGATTGACCAGTGGGGTAGAAAGTTCTTCATAACTTATATTTATTACTGATGGACTCATAATAATGAATCCAAAAGAATCAGCAGAAAACCAATTAGAGAAAAAATATTTTTGCTAATTCATTGATTTTAATGAATTGTATGAATATAAAAAGCAAAAATATGACAGGAAAAACATTACATTCTAAGAACCATAGCATATGAGTGAATACTATTTACTATCACCAGGGGGGGGGCCTTCTTGGGACCAACAAGGAATGATTCAGCCTCAACTAATCAATCTCATTGGTAAATAGATTTTGAAATCAGATGTTCCCTTCTATTTTTCCTAAGTATTTTCTAAGCAATCCAAATCTGATCAGTCATGTCATGATCAATGCTGGGTAATGCATAGTAACTGCACGGGCTCAAGAATGGGAAGCACCTCTGACATTTGGTATGATTATAGAACTCATACAAAGGAAACTAGGTTTGAGGTCTAGTCTTCAATCACATGAACACACATGGTACAGTCTTCCCACGTTATTCTTGATTGATGCATTCCTCGAAATCATTGTATAAAGTGAAATTGTGGAGAGATAGTCAATTATAACATGGTATAATAGGGTATGCACTGTCCAAAATCACAAACTAAAAATTCAATTATAACTGCTTTTTTTAAAATTGCATAAAGTTGGATTGTAGATAACGAGGGATGATTGTACATGTCCTTATGTCTCCCAAATGCCTTTAAACTTTAAACAAGGCCAATGTAATGCCAAGTATGACTTTAATCTCTTAGTCACAGGACTCAAAAATCTAACCTTTGGAAGAACATACCTTGAAAGTTGAAAGTCCACTCAAATCCCTGACTACAAGAGCATGTGGACACTTAAATGTTCTAATTCAGCTTGTACAGAGGTTATTGTTGATAGAAGAGAGGCATTAATGTAGTACACTAGTTACCATGGATAGACTTGGCAAAAACTACAGTTTCTATTACTGTGTAGACTACAATCATGAGGGATTGCTTCCCTAGTGCAAGTGGAGCAAGGACTGCAGGCTGACCTAGGCCAGGGAGAGACTTGCTCTGTGCATATGGACTTTTTCTTCTCTAAACTCAAAGTTTGAATTTCAGGGAAAAGCCTGTGTATCAACCTCTACTGACCTAATATTTATTTGAATATTAGCTCTGTGCACTTTTATCGATAAGAGCCCAATGTACCAGCAAGTTTCAATGCCTTGTTCTTATAGGACCCTACTCACATTAAACCAAGTCTTTAATCTGTCTATCTACTCCAATGCACATAAGCTTCCTAAACATGCTACCCCTACTCCTACCCAAAAAGTATGAATGTCAAGAATTTAACCTGCAACAGACATAAATGATGCCTGAGTCAAAACCAACAGGGTTACTGGCTCTCAGAGCTAATTGTTGCCATATAGTAGGAGTATGGAACAATACAAAAGCACCTCCAGTTCATGTCTACATGTGCACAGATGTGACACTTACACATGAAGGATCATATTCCAACCCTCTGACCCTAAAGCATGTGATAACTGCATCTCTTGCCACTCTTGGAGACATGACTCAAAATTAAAAAAGGGCTACATAGTCATTTTATTATCATATATTGCCTTGAAAATTTTCCATAATTCTAGACCATAAGGAAACTGATTAACCCTTGTATTTATTGGCTTTAGTTGTGCTTGGCATGAAATGAAAGTACGTATTTTCATTTGCATCCGACATTTTCTAATGTCACCAACACTGTAGTCATGACTAATTACTTGATTGACCACTTTCTCTGTACTATGGCATTGGAACTTTATTCCAATCACAACCTAAGACACTTAGGCTTTACATATGACATGCATGACACATGCATGTGTACAGAGCAGGCCCTTTTTTTCTCATGTCCGGGGATGGCAACTTCCGAAAGGGGATCCTTCAGACTTGCCATTCCTATTGCCTCCTCATGCAGATCTTAATGCTTCATGCTGGCTGAGTGCAAAGCATGCTGGTTGACAAGCGAACTTCATTCTGATTAGCCTAGGGAGTGAACGCAATGAGGTGGGACTGTCCCACCTTCAGGTCAGTAATAACACAAGTGATGCCATGCACTGAGTTTGGCAACCTCCAAGCCCCCAAGGGTAGGCTGACAAGGAGTCATGAAGAGTTGATGGTGACTTTGGATACATGGTGACTACCGTGTTGTTGATGTTAGAGACTGTAACACCCAAATGCCTGAGAATTGGAGCTTTGAGTTGCACTTCACATACATAAGTGCTGGAGTCCAGAGAGGAGTCCAACTGGGCAATATAACATAAGTTTATGAATAACGGAATAGGCCTAGGCTACTCAAAAGATACAGCTGAAGGCAAACTCACAGTAGAGTTACTTTTTTTTTTGTTACACAAAAAGCCATTCTTCAGTCAAGTCAGACATAAACTTGGAGTTCAGTTAAGTCAAGCTAAATGGGACCATTACATGATGAAGACAAATCTTAGGCAACAGGGAAGCTCTCCCACTTTCATAATTTCCACAGGTGAAAAGGGCCTTAGCCTAATGCTCATTATACAGCTTATACAGGTCAGGGTGAGCCAATATGACCTTGTATGCAAATATTGGCCATTCCTAAGCTTATGTAGGTTTATAGGTCTAGGATAACATACAGCCTACCATAAACTGCCACACTCTAGATTCATTTTTTTTTAAGTTTCCTTTCGATGTGTACTCCAAATTCTACGCCTAACGGTAGCTTAGGTTCGGCATAGGCCCAACGTTACGAAGTCAGCTGGGTGCAGACGTTGACGCAATTTGAAAGTAGGGCTCTGAAGTTCGCCTAGACCGACACCCTCCACACTGAAATTCAAAATCTCAGCTCTAGGCATCCGAATCAGACTTAAGCTACGTCCATGCATGAGGCGAAGAACGAAAATCTGAAGATCAAACTAACCGCACCTCGCGGCCTACTCTTCTGCTGGCGGTGCATGGCAGTTTAAACGGTCGGCTGGGGTCAGGGTTGCCAGATCAGAAGGAAGCGCCGAGGAGAAAAAAACGAAGCAATCTCCATGGTTACGAATAAATATCAAATATATTTTATATCCATCAATGAACTTTATTAACTCTTGCGTATTCTTTCGATCGTCTTGGGTAATCGAGCATGCAGAGAACAGAAACGGAGATTCTCGCTCATGCCATAAAACGCATCTGTGAAGTGCGCCATCATGCACCGCGCACGAGCACGGGCAGTTTGATCTTTTCTATAGAGAGAACGGTCATTCAACTTCAAATACCTGCCAATGGTGGAGTTTGACTTAGAAATGCGCCTCTCACGCGTCAACGCGGAATGCTTCGCTGAGGAATGGCAGCTCGTTCGTGCCGTGATGGCTGTGGAATGCGCGGCGGGTAACGTTCAACAGCTCAAGCAGGATTTTGAATCGCGTAATGAAGCTCGGACAAGGTATTTTTTTTGTTCTTATTTGAATGGTCACCGAGCTCCGCTTCTGATTTTATTTTTTAAGTGGAGTAAATTGAGGAAGGACTTAAGTTTCACTCGAAAGTGAAGTATCACAATGCAAAGAGACGCCCGGCCATTTTAAGTTAGTATCCTTTCGTTGCCTCAGCCGTGGAGTTTAAACGTCATTGAAGTTCTCCTTTCTCCAGAGTTCCTTTCCAGAGTTGTCGGAACTACCAATAAAAAATTTATAAAAATAAAACACGTTCCTGGCTCTTTATGCTTTTTCCCAATATGCGTGGAAAATCCTAGGAGCCTATAGTCCGGACAAGGGACCGTCTTCCATTACGAAGACAAAAATCCCTAGGAATTCGAAGCAAAGCCCATGAGATTAGGTCGAGAGTCGCAAGATGAGGAGAAAAGAAGGGCGGGAGGCATCCAAGCGATCTCGCGGGCCAGCAGCTGCGAGCCTGCGCGGGAGTTGGATGACCTCCTTCGACCGACCCCGGATGGCCTGGATGGCCTTCCAGGGGCCGTTGGAGGTCTGGAGGTCACATTATTTACTTTTTCGGCTGTTTTAACGCGAAAAGGCAGAGACCGAGACGGTCAGGATTTTCCAGCGATCGCGCTCCGTCGTGGATTCGGCCCTCGATCGGATGCGGCTTTATTGATTACAGTAAAAACTCGTCAACTCGAATCCCGTTGAGTCGAAATTCCGTTTAACTCGAAATCGGGGTGTGAAGGATGGAAAAATTATTGTCGGAGCTATCGATTTGTTGAATAGGTGAAAGGCAAGAAACCTGTTCGGAAAAAAAAAATTTGTTCTTTCTTCTTTTTTTTGTTGCTTACCCCTTCTCCCCCCTCCCTCCCTACAGACTCCTGTGGAGAGGACTAAAACCGAAAAGCTTCTGCTATAAAAAAAAATGGAGCAATCTCTAGCACCTTCCCTGTCTGTCTGTCCGGCCATTTTCCTGCCAAATTAGGTTTCCGGAGTACCGGATGAAGGGCGTTGTGATGAATTAATTTTGCATATGGAGTGTCAAAGTTTCCAAAAAAATCGCCCTATTATATTTCTTAACGTTAGTAATTTATTACTATTATTATTTTAATTTATATTATTATTATTATTTTTTATGGGTAGAAGTAATTCCCAATTAGTCCAACTTCGGATAGCTCGAAATGATTTTCCCGGTCCCAAAAAGTTAATGAGTTTGTACTGAATATGGCTATATTATTTATTTATTATTATTTATTGTCATGCCGCTTTCATGAGATAATAGAGGAGGAAGGGTGCCAGCCTCCTGGGAGCGTTATCAGGCTCCCTATCAGGTAACGCTCTGTATCGGAGCGAAGAACGTTGCCGAGACATGAAGGGGACAAGAAGCAAAACAGGTGGCAGATGAGTCAGTTCATGAGCGAAGTCTTGGTGATGCTGATGAGGACGATGATGCTGATGATGTAGAGAGTGACTGGAGGCTTCTAC